TTCAGTAAGAACAATATCGATTCTGTATTAAGTCAACATATTCTTCAATTCTGTAGAAATATCTATCGAAGTTATATCACGCCCTCATTACGTTTGTGACGATTCTTTTGGTTGGAGTGTGTTGCTTCTTCAATAGTACTTTCTCTCTCTGTGTATTATGTCGCAAGAATCTTTCAATTTAGTTAAGCTATCAATCTGTCGTTCTACTGAGCACGCAAAGAAAAACGCAAAAAAAATGAGATTTATACTTCTTGGAAATAAATAGTACACAGCATATACAATATTTCTTCAATGACATTAAATATTAATTAATCCATTACTTTTAGCGAGCTCATTAATTTATTTTCAAGTAAATATAATTATTATATAATTTTTATATAATATATATTTTTATAATTTTTTTTATATTATATATTTAAACAAGGAATTATAATATAAATGAGATTGTAGAAGCATAAGTGAAAAAACGGAGAAAAAAGGATATTAATTAATAACATTAGAATAGTTTTCAAATACAATGAGAAATGATATATGTTATTTGTTATTGTATTTTTATAAATACATAAAGATATAAATATAACACGGAAATAATATCCGAACAAGAAATTGCTTCATGCATACCGCTTGCTTGTACATCGCAATTGTACATCGCAATATATATCAAGAAATTCATATATTATTTAAGTAATTATGTACATTTGCTTTTTCATATGATCAACGCAGAAACGCATTTGAATTTATATTAGTTCACAGCAAAAAATTATTTTAAATCAGACAAGATGTTTCTTAAAGATATCAAAATAAAAAGAATGTATTTTATAGAATAGTACATTTATGATTTTTGAATTTAGAATTTAAAATTTCAAGATATTAACCGTTTTTATAAAAAATTTTTAAATAAAAGATTTTCAAATCAAGAAAATCATTTTTTGCATATGAATCAATTATTTTGGAAATCTGACATAAAAATATTAATTGCGGAAAAATGTTACTTTATTATTATTTTCAGCCAAAAATCTATAAGAAGTACTTTGTCTGGTTCAAAATAATTAAAAAAAAATTTTTTTTATAAACTAGTATTATTATAATCTTTGTATTTTATTATACGCATTTAGGAGATAGTGAAGAATAATTAAAAAAAAATTCATTTTTTATTATAAAATTTGATGAAAATATAAATATTTTTAGAAATAATTAATATTTTAAGAAATTAAAAAAAAGTCTAATTGAAAAAATATTAAAAAAAATAATTTATAATCTAATTTAACTTATTGATTTTACACAAAAAATAATTTCCTCATAAATTGATAAATATACAAAGTGTTGTATGGCCATATAAAATGTTTCTGTTATTTAAATATTAAAACAAACTAATTTATAAAAGTTATATAGTTTCAAAGAAAATGCGTTTTTATTTTGTTAAATATTTATTTCCTAATGCTAAAATTATAATGGAACATCATTACTATTTTTCTAAATGATTCTACATATTTTAGAGCATTGATAGTTATATAATAGTAATAGTTAGATATAGTTTTTTTTACTAAAAATTATTATTAAAAGTTATATTTTAG